TTTGAGGCAATGGTGAAACACAAAAATCAAAACATTCAATAGGCATTTCACTGTTTATTCATTCATTCATCATATATGTGCTGAGGGCCTGCTATGTGCCAGATATTGGCCTGGGGAGATAATGGTGGGCAAGATAACAGACAGTCCCTGTCCTCTCAGAGATTAAGGCTTACATGGCAAGACAAGTGGGTAATGAGGCATTGAGCTTGATCAAGAGAATTCACAGATACTAAAAAATATCTGCTTAAAAACTTGGGAAAAAGAAAAAGGAGGGAGGGGGCAAGAGCCTGCCCTGGACTGCTTGAAAAGGAGATCCCTCCTTCTACAGCAAAAGTATAGAAGCGCAATACGAAAGTGTTAGAAAATGTGAAAATGGTTTCTAAACGAACCATAAAGCTTTAATAAGCTGGCAGAGATGCTAGAACTAAAACAATCTTGAAAGCTTTAACAAGTTGGAAACACGGGAAGGAAAAAATAAGCTTTTAGTGATGAAGTAAATTTTGGTTAAAAACATGTTTTACTCTTCTTCTGGGCCAATTTGGAAAGCCATCTCTTGACCTCAGATGTATTGAGGACAAATGTGTACATTCTTCCTTTCAAAGCCTATTAAGAATAAAAACTGTAAATTAAGTACATATACTCTCCAGTATGAACTTCCAAACTTAAAACGAACAAACAAAACAAAAAATAGGGGTTTTCTTAGTGGGAAATTGTTACATAAGAGCTTTAATAAGGTAGGTTTATAGTCCAAGGTCAAAACATAAAGAAAACACTTTTCCAATAAATCGTTTGCATTTGTGTAGAATAAATGAGGCCGTTCAAACCAATATGAAGTGTTCTTTTATCAGAGATTTTACAGAGAGTGTTGAGTTCAAAAGATTAAAATGACACCATTTGGTGTTCCTGTAGCAAGACATGGGCATTCAGATTCCAGTGGATTTTTTTAAGAAGATAATTCTTATTATTGGAAAGCTGCAGCTGTATTAATCTTCCCATTTTCAAGAAGTAATCATCCCTTTCAGCTATGATTGATTATTCTAACTTACTGGATTAGTCTAAATTCTAACCATCATCTGCATGAGTATGAGGACCGATTTCTTCACAGCTGCTTCTACTTAGGCTAATTTACACTTAGGGTGGATTTATTTGGGTACTTTTAAGGTGTACAGTATTTCCAGAGCTTTTAAGTAAGAATTACTATTTTTTCTCAAACACCAGAAAGACTTGACATGTCAGCTCTTTATTAAGTGTACTAAGGAAAAAGGAAGCATGGGTAAATGAAATCCACAAGTAATCCCAGTGCTCTGCTTTAGTCGTTGCTGTTTAATCTGACCTTTTAAATCATGTTCAAAGAGTTCCCTGTTTACGTCAATGACATCTTGATTCTCCCACCCAACTCAGAACTCAGGTTTGAAAGTTTGCAAGCATCTTGACATGTTTATTGAATTTCTCCAAGAAAAATTTTATTGAGGTGGAACTACTGATTTGCAATTTTGTGGCTTGATCGGCATGACAGCATCTATTTGATGAGAAAAGCAGAGCCAGTGTGCGTGTGTCTGTGTGAGGGGATGAAGGTGAGGTGCATGTGGGGTCTAAGTAGCCTGGGCCTTAGAGGTGATTGCTGGGTTAAAATCCTAGCTCCACTAGGCCATCTGTTTTCCTTTAACTAGTTGCTGTTGAGCGGATTCGGACTCATAGCGACCTCATGTGTGTCAGAGAAGAACTGTGCTCCACAGGGTTTTCAGTGGCTGATGTTTAGGAAGCATATTGCCAGATTTTTCTTTCCAGGTGCCTCTAGGTGGGCTTGAACCTCCGACTTTTTGGTTAGCAGCCAAGTGCATTAATCATTTGTGCTTCCCATCTGTTCCTCTACCTACTCCATATTAATTATTTCCTTGTGCTGTCAAACCATGGCAACATCTATCAATTAGAATCAATCACCAGATAATTTTTTTAATGGACAGATCAATAGGACCAAGTGAAATTGAGAGACAGGCTTGTGGGCAGGGGAGCAAATCATATCCAAATTATGCCATATGAATTTTGTAGGTTACTGAACGTGTTGAAACAAATAGCTCAAGGATTTATTGAGCAAGCTGAGTAATCATTAAAATCAGGCTGCAGTTTTCTGCAAGAATTAAATTTCCTTCCTCTTCCCCCCCTTTTTTTTTCTGTTTTCTTTATAAAAGACTTTAAAAAATGAAAATAAAAAAGAAAGCAACCCATAAATGTTTATTTTGTCAGCATTAGCACCCTGGACCAGTCCACTAAACTCACTGCCATCAAGTTGACTCCAACTCATAGTGACCCTACAGGACAGAGTAGTGCTTTATGGAAGCAGACTGCCACATCTTTCTCGTGTAGAGCGGCTGGTGGGTTCGAACCACCAACCTTCCAGTTAGCAGCTTAGCGTCTTAACCACTGAGCAACCAGGCTTCTTTGACCAGTCCACTATAAACTGGAATTATCAAAAGAAAGCATGTTCTTTCAAGAGCCCTTTTCCCAGAGAAAACATGTTACATGTTTAATGATGTGTGAAATGGGACTATTTCAGATTCTTTGAAACATCAAAATCATTTTTCAAAAATTTTGGTTTTGGCAATATCTTCTATGTGCCCTTTTCCTAGTATTTATCACTTGAAAACATGGACATCTGTGGGAGGTTTTCATTTTTGTCTTTTGTAGTCTAGATTTGCTAATCAATGTCATATAAAAGGTGTTTTTGAGAAATTATAAATCTTTTAAATGTCTTTTTATTTCAATTTCAACAAGCATAAATAAAATATTGTAAAAGTAGATATACAAATATTCAAAAAGTACATGAAAACATGCATATTAAAACTGTCAGTGAGCTACGACTGCACCAGAATGGCTACAATGAAAAATGCAGACAACACCGATGATGGTGAGGATGTGGAACAACCCTAACTCTCAGACATTACTTGTGGGAGTAAATGGAAAATCTAGGCAAAAAATAGTTAAATACACATCCTCCCTGTGATCCAGCAAAGCCCCCTTCCAGGTACCTAAGAGAAATTAAAACATATGTCCACAAAAAGCCTCATACAACAATGTTTATAATCATAATATTATATTATAATCATTTATAATCATATTATATTATGATTATAATATATAATATTATATAATATAATCATATTATAATCATATTATAATCATAATAACCTAAAACAAAACACAATTGGGGTGTCCATCAACAGAAGAAAGGACAAACTCTGGAATGTTCACATAACAGAATACTACTCAGGAATAAAAAGGGAATGAGCTATTGATATCTGCAATGTCATGAATAAACCTCAAAAATATGCTGAATGAAAGAAGAATGAAATTCTAGGAGAGGGAAAACTAATCTATAGTGAAATCAAATCAGCAGTTGTTTCTGGAGAAGGATACTTTCTAAGGTGATGAAAATGTTCTATTTCTTGAGGTGTATTTGTAGGTTACTTGGATGCATGCATTTGTCATAACTGATCAAACTGTACACTCATGATCTGAGCATTTTACTAGGTGTAAATTATGCCTCCATAAAAAATTCTTATTAAAAATAAGAATGAAAAATTCAAAAAATTTAAAAATCACTTTGCATATATTTAAAATAAAAATATTTTCTAAAAACAATGTCTTGATTGAAGATTTAATATTTTGAATGCTTGTCCAGAGGCGAATTTTTGAATTTTCAAGCTAATATAGTAAATATTTATGATCAGCAAATACTATTTTATAATCAATTTAGAATTATGATTTACCATTTAGCACAGTGCCTAGCACATACCAAAAACCAAACCCTTTGCCTTGGAGTCGATTACGACTAGCGGTTAAGAGCTTGGCTGCTAACCAGAAGGTCAGTGCTTCGAATTCACCAGCTGTTCCCTGGAAATCCTATGGAGCATTTCTACTCTGTCCTGTAGGGTCGCTATGAGTCAGAATTGACTCCACAGCAATGGGTTTGTTTGTTTGTTTTTGGTTTATAGGACACAGTAGAATTACCCTATCGGGTTTCCAAGGTATGGCTGGTGGATTCGAACTGCCAACCTTTTAGTTAACAGCCAAGCTCTTAACCACTGCACCACCAGGGCCAAATAATGGGTTGGATGAATAAATGAATGAATGGCAATCATTTTAAAATAAACATAGAATTTTCTTATTTTGTACCGGAGCCCTGGTGGTACAGTAGTTAAGAGCTATGGCTGCTAACCAGAAAGTCAGCAGTTCAAATCCACCAGCCACTGCTTGGAAACCCTATGGGGCAGTTCTACTCTGTCCTATAGGGTCTCTATGAGTCAGAATTGACTTGATGGCAATGGGTTATTTTGTACTACCAAAGAAAATGGCAGTTCATGGCTTTATTTCCAAATGTGTGCTTTTCCTCTGCCTACAGCTTTCCCTGTATCTCTCTCTCCAGTTTTCTAAGTCAGTGATTCAAAAACTTTAGTGTCATCAGAGTCACCTGAAGGGCTTGTTAAGACACAAATTGCAGAACCTCCTTTTTGTGACAAGTGTCTAACTGATGGTGATGCTGGTGCTGTCTGCTTTGGGACCACACTGTGAGAACCACTGCTTCAAGCACGACTCCAATGGCACATCAAGGACCTATCCTTTTCTTAACAAAGATCAGCTTTCCTATCTTTTCGCAGCCTTCCCTAACTGCCTTCAGCCTCCTCCTCTTAGCTATTATTACACTTATTACTGCTATTCTCCATTTGCTATTTGGTCACTCTCCTTTGTAGTTTATTCTTTTGAAAAAAAAAAATAGAACTTGCATGTGTTTTCAGGTAGATTATAACTCTCTTGAAAGTAGGGACACTGACTTACGTATCTTTGTTTCTCTCACACCTATAACAGGCTGTATAGCTAATAGGCAATGGTAAATGCTGATGCTCCTGATATGTATCAATTCTTCAAAGATCATGTACAGATACTATTAAATGCAAGGGCTAATTTTCAGACAAAAAGCACAATCTTCAGTGATGGTGAATTACCTGTTGTTGGGACAGTGACTCGGCCGTGTCCAGTCATGGTGTGGGTTGATGAGGAAACCCCAGGACAGAAAGACAGAACTGGATGTCAGAGTGCCAATCACCAACTGGAGAGGTTTGCGAGTATGCGTTTTACCTATGGAGGTAACATATGGGGTTAACTCTTGTAACATTTAGCGTATTTTCATGATAGAGGTAAAACTGCACGAAGACAACTCGGTAAGATGATGAAAAGTTAGAAAACATCAAATTCCTTTCCTTTTATATGGTCCAGAAATACTGCTTATTTTCCCATAAATTTAAGTGGTAATCAAATGAAATACTCTTTTTTAGGTATAGATGTCTGTATGCATACGTGAAACACAGTATTTTTATGCAAATAATGCGTGCCTTCTACATTTGTTTGCCAACTGCTCCCTGCCCCCCACCCCGAGGTATTTTTGTAAGTGCACTTTGCTAATTTTTTTTATAGCAACATGTAAAAAAAACTGGCATAGCAGAGTTTATAAAAGTACCTTCAGGGCAGGGGGTGGGGGGAGTGGCTGGCAAACAAAGATAGAAGGTACTCATTATTTGCCTTAAAAACATAGTACATATATATGTATGTGTGTGTATATATGTATATATATAGATATATAGAGTTGGATAGTGTGTATATGTACATATATGTAACGTGTACATATATGTAATGTGTACACACACACACGATATCTAACTATATCTAGTTTTTATTTTCTTGTAGGTCAGGGATGGGTATAGATATTGTGGCTCTGGCTAATGAATGGTGTGTGTGTATCATTCATATGAATTAGTATATATATGAATGATACACACACACTCACATATACATACAACATTCACTTCATTTCTTCTACAGACAAAATAAAAGCATACTTTGTTATAGGACTGTTAACTAGTGTGAAACAACATCTAACAAAAGAAATTTTACCACCTAGGTTGTATCCTTTTTTTTAAAAACCTATTGGGAAGCGTCAAATCCCTTGTCATACTATTTTAATAAGCATACCGTTTACAGTGAGTATATAAATGGAGATGTTGCCCATGTTTTTAATAATACTGAAAGAGAAGGAGTAATACATGAAGCACAGTTGTTTTGACAGGCTGAGTGGGATCTGGCCAAGACTGATACTCTTGAACCACTCTCGACTCTTTTCAAGTATATAGGCGGCAGACATACGCACTTCTGAAAATATTTGAAACCACAGGAATGAGAGAACAGTGAAAAAGAGGAGGGAAGATTCTCAGCCATGGAAACCAACCCTGGCCCATAAAAAATCAGGGTAAGTAAAATAAAAATCCAATAGGAGACCTAATAAAACTATATAGAACTAAAGTAAAACATATATGCTTTATATTTCCATTGGGTTCTCACTTTCATTTAATGGGGCTGTGTGTGAAGTCCTTGCAGCAGGAAGACCTTGTGTCATTTTAATCTAACGGAGTGAGAACCAAGCAGCAAAACAGCCTGTGACCTTTTTGAAGGTGGGAAAGAGCCTAACGGGTCGTTATGAGTTGAAATGGACTCAACGGCAGCTGGGTTTTGGTTAAGAGCCCACTGGAGGTCACCTGAACCAAATGCCCCAGAAAGTTGTGTTGTGCTTGTTACTTCTATTAGATATAAGTTCTGTGAACTGTTGTTCCAGTGAGAAACCTCTGAGTCCAGAATATACACAACCTATTGGTGGCAAACTGCTTTGCTGTAACCTGATTGAATTTTTTAAGATCTTTGGAATAATTTTTAAGAGTAGTTGGTTGTAAACACACATTCATCCTTCTCTAGAAAATTTTCCAGTTCTACCTGTAATAGTGACTTATTAAGGTTGTGATTCAAGTGGTACAAGTATGGCCCCCAAGGAGGGCAGTTTAGAATCTGGGGTGAGGACAGGGTATACATATAGTTTGAAAAGCCCTGAGGTGATTCTGTTATGTGTTTTCCGTCTCTAATGCTAATCTAATGCAACTCTCATTTTACAGAGAACTCGGGTATGCAAGATCCGCACTAAGAACAAGGTCAAGGTTCAAATCCATCTCTTCTGAATACTAATCTAGTTTTCTTTCTGCTGCATTTTTACAATGTGTGAAGATAATGCCAGTTAGAGACAAAAGATAAGTTTTTTCTTTCCCCAGTGGAATCTAAGGCTTACATAACCATCAAATGATGTTTAAGCTTAATATAAAAATGATCAAATAATTAAAATTTATGTGGCAGATGAAATTATAAAATGAGTAGAATTTAATCCATTATTCATTCCATCATTCCCAAGAGCAGATTATGAAAACAAAAATTGTATCTACTGCCTGAAAGGAAAGGAGCGGTATTATTTCCTGAGCAAGAAGAAAATTTCCTGAGCTGGTCGTCACGAAGTGAAAAAAATTCTCTAAGGCCAGTTTCAGAGAAGGCCTGAAATGAAATTAAGTGAAGCTGTAAAGTGCTAAAGTGTAATCCCTGCTCTGACTTTCTTTATATACTTTGTTGTATTTGTTTTATGATCACATCTTTATTAAGAAACAGTTCAATGACTATTCATATGAAGTGAGAATTCCATGGAATTATACTCATGCTTCTTGACTTTATTGTTCAATATTGAAACAGGCTTTTGAAATATTAATAGCACATTTATTTTAAAATGTACAGAAAGCTGCCTGGACAACTTTCACTAACAAGTTGTAAGGAGTAGTGGAAATTTTCCTTGCTAAATTTTGGGATAATATAAGAAGTCAGGAAAAGGAATTTATACTTTTCAAAATGTTTAACTATTCAATGCTTCTCCTGAAAGAAGTGGGAGCCAACAGAAGGAGGGAAGGGGATTGTAGCAACTGATCTTTGGTAAACTAAGCTTGGGCTGATACATCTAGGAGACAGAATGCATAACTGCAAAGGGCCCCTTTGCTCAATGTATTTGAGTAGCTATATGATCCTCCCAGAATTCCTAGATGGTGCAACAGGTTAATGCACTCAGCTGCTAACTGAAAGTTTGAGTCTACCCAGAGATGCCTTGGAAGAAATGCCTGGTGGTCTACTTCTGAAAAATCAGCCACTGGTTTCCTTTGGAGCACAGTTCTACTCTGACACCACGGGGCTGCCATGAGTCAGAGATAACTGGGTGGCAACCTGACTGGAATGTTCCTCCCGCCCATTTTATACTTTTAGAAAATTCAGCAAACAAAAAGGAAGAGCCTTTTTTGTGTGATATCCAGTGTACCATGGAAAATAAATATAATCAGGAAATAATTACTTTGAGAAAAGTTCACATAATAAAATGAAAATGAAAAGTAAAACATCGTGATCAACTCTATCTACATAGTTAGGAAAATGCAGTATCAGGTTCTTCTTTATAGCAATGATCTGATTAATTAATCTGAGAAGAAACTTCAGTACTGAAACTTGACAGTCTGGGCTTTTTAATCTTGCTTTAGTCATGCAGAAAAGTTTCTACTTATTCGTTTGGCATCAACTTTCCTGTTTCAAGTCTTCCTATCCCTAGAAAGATGTTTTTGTTGTTGTTTTATGAAAGGAGTCGTTCCTTTATTTTTGACTGTTTAGAAGATAAGAAGTAAGTAAAATCTAACCTACAATCCATTTAACACACATGTAACATGAGTTACCCTTTTAAAATGTAAACAATTTTCTTAAGCAAAGCTTAGACGTAAAAGTGTGTCCTTAAAATCTGAACGGCACAATAAAACTGGTTGCCATCGGGTCAGTACCGATTTATGGCGACAGTATGTATGCAGAGTAGAACTACACTCTGTAGGATTTTCAAGGCTATGACCTTGCAAAAGCCTTTCTTCTGAGGTGCCTCTGGAAGGGTTTGAACCACTAACTTTTCAGTTAGTAGTTGGGCACTTAACCATTTATGCTACCCAGGGACTCCAAAAGGTGCAATAGCAGGTAAGAATTCACAAAATTGCATTGCAAACTAGAGACAGGCTAAGAGGAGTTCACCCTAAATGGGTACTACTACGGGTCAGGACTGCCCTAAATGCCTGCGCATTAACTCATTTCCTCATGAACTCTAATCCTCACACAACCCTATTACACAGCAGAAGGAAGTATAGACAGACCCAATAATGTGCTTAGGGCCCTACAGTTTCCAGGTGGTGGTGGTGCTGAATCAGATTCCCAGCAGTTCCTACCAGGCTATACTACTTCCTAAGCAGGGTAATCTGTTGACTGGAGGTTTGAGTCCACCCAGAGGCATCTCAATAGAAAGGCCTGCTGATCTACTTCTAAAAATCAGCCATTCAAAACCCTGTGGCACATAGTTCTACTCTGACACACATGGAGTCACCATGAATTGGGATCAACTCAACAGCAACTGGTATTATTACATCTTCTAATTGACATCTGTCATGGATCGAACTGTGTCCTCCAAAAATACGTGTCAACTTGGTTAGGCCATGATTACCAGTATTGTATGGTTGTCCTCCATTTTGCGATTGTAATTTTACGTTAAAGAGTATTAGGATGGGATTGTATAACACCCTTACTAAGGTCACATCCCTGATCCAGTGTAAAGGGAGTTTCCCTAGGGTGTGGCCTGCACTGCCTTTTATCTTACAATAGATAAAAGGAAAGGGAAGCAAGCAGAGAACTGGCGACCTCATACCACTGAGAAAGCAGTGCCGGGAGCAGAGTGTGTCCTTTGGACCCGGGGTTGGTGAGCGGAGAAGCTCCTAGTCCAGGGGAAGGTTGAAGATAAGGACCTTCCTCCAGAGCCAACAGAGAAAGCCTTCCCCTGGAGTTGACGCCCTAAATTTGAACTTCTAGCCTACTAGACTGTGAGAAAATAAATTTCTCTTTGTTAAAGCCATCCACTTGTGGTATTTTCTGTTATAGCAGCACTAGATGACTAAGACAGCATCCCTCCCCCGGGTACTTGGTCTCCATACGTAGAAAACAGAGGAAAAGTTATGATTTAAAGTTTGCAAAAGAAACAAATAACAATGAAAAGACTTTACCTGAGCATGATTTCTTTTGGCTTGGAGGGGGTGCAGGCCGCACAACGATCAGATATTTAGGCTCTGCATCTGGAGACAATAACAACATTATTTACTCAGGATGAGCATTCACAACAGCATACCTGTGTCCTGACTCAGTGTTCCTGGCATTAGTCCTTGTAACTGCACTATCAGCATGTGCGAGGATCGAGGAGTCCAGAATGTCAGTACTTCCTGAGACTGCTCAACCTATTAGGCTTTTGAAAATGAAAACTAAACCCAGATTTTCAAAACCATATGGGCAGGGATAGGGGAGAGGTCTTAAAAGAATCATGCTAGCCGCAGATTTTACACAAAGTTTTACTAAATTCTTTTCTCTACAAAGTGATTTTTTAAAAATCAGATCATATGCTTTATGATATCCTACTCCTCATGGGGGAGGTAGCCCAATGCTTCAAAATCAGAGAAGACAAATATCCACCTCAGACACACGAGTTTCGCCTGTCGTACAATCAAAATCTCTTGCTTTCATGGAAATGTATTTAGGATGCCCCACCTAATTTTTATCCTGTTTGTGTGATTTGTCAGCTTATTTTCATACCCAGCCAGTTGTTCTGTCAACAACTTTTAAACGTTAGAATTTATATGTTGCTATGATTTTCACCTAAAATATAGCAACAAAAAATATATCAGTAGAAAATATATTTTTAAAATATTTAGATTTTAAATAAAATGATGTCTAAGCAATCAGTATGTGCTAACTCGGTCAAGGGCTAAAAATTTATCCATTAATTTTTTTTAATTGATGTTGCCAGGATGAATGTTTGGTTTAAAAGTATACATATAAACCAAACATACTTTGGGCATACACAGTAGCATTTTATACATAGCTGTATTGGATTAACTGATGGGCATTACCTGCAATGTTTCTTCAGTAACTTTGGACCCCGACACTCATTCTATACTGATTTTCATTTGGATGCTACAGTCAACCAGAGTTCATCCCTACTTGTTCAGGCAGACCTAGAATCTTTGTTTTCATTCTGGGCTCAAATATCTCACCTCCATCGATTTGGAACAGAGGCGTTCTCTGCCTGAGGCTTTGCAGAGCTGACCTCATTCTCAGCCACAGACAACCTGGCAATTCCACTGCTTTTAATGACCCATGCCTTTGTCTTTTTCTGGACTCCCTGCACCTCTGTGGTATAACCAGCTGCACTAATTACCACTGAATAGAGTAACCCAGGCAACCTCTTGAACTCACCTCAGAGCTTTGCCTGTTTATCGTATAATCACCCACGACCATGGCACAGCGAAAGAAGCACTTGTGTTTCAGTCTGGAGTATTTGAGAGCATTCTTGCTTTGTGGAGCTCATATAAACCCAAATCAAATGAGTTCCCTAATAGGAGCACAATGACCATTTCCTGGTTTTATTTAGGATAGAGAGCAATATTGTTATTAAGAAATGACCATTTATTTGGTGCTTTCTATGTGCAGGCTACTGTGCGAAGCACTTTACATTCCTAGCTAATTATTCCCTACGAGGCAGTTCAGTTATCAGCCAAATTTATAGATGAGGTCACTGAGGCAGGGTTTGGTTCATGGGTATGCAACCTGTGTTGTGTCACAAGGTCCCATGGTCAGAAGGCCCCACACTTGGTTTTATGTCTTGCTATCACCATCTTCAAATTATTAATAATTTTAGAAAGGCTCATTAAACAAAATGAGACTAAATGGGCACACCAACCCAGGGACAAGAAGGAAAAGGCAGAAGGGGACAGGGAAGCTGGTAATGGGGAACCCAAGGTCCAGAAGGGGAGAGTGTTGACAAGTTCTGGGGTTGGCAGCCAATGTCACAAAGCAATATGTGTATTAACTGTTAATGAGAAATTAATTTGCTCTGTAAACCTTCATCTAAGGCACAATAAAAAATGTTAATTTTATCTTTGAGCTCAGGTTTTGTAAGGGAAGTCTGATGGGACAATGGAACTTGCACATGAGCACAGGGGATATGAACCATACACACGTCTTAGTCCCTTGCTTCTCCACGCACATATAGTGCCCAAGATGCCCATGAGCACAGAATTTTGGTGGCCCCACCATGTGAGGGAATTTAGAGACTCAAAGCAAGAGCAAGGTAAGCATCTAGGACTAGCACATCAAGGGCTGAGTAAGCAGGGCACCAACAGCCCCGGAGGCCACCCTTTCCAGTGGAACCAGAACTTGCTTCCAATTCAGAAAGAAGGCAATGGTAGTATAAGAAATACAGATGACCAAGGAACCCCATTCCAACCTTTCTTACTCATTTTTCCCTGTATCAGCCAACCACTTATACTGAGAATGACGATATAGAAGGAAAGGGAGAGACAGGGCAACCCATAAATCCTTTCTTTTCAGATCTCCCTTACTCACAAGTAAGCCAAAGGTAAAGAGTGTTGGTAGAATATGTACATATCAATAAGTGAAATAAAAACAGCTGAGTTACTTCTGTGCAGTATTTCCACTATTCTGATAAGAACAAAATACACATGCATCTATGAACTACAAAGTAGAAATTGCACAATTTTAGTGATGGTGCATATGAGTGAAAGGCTCTCATATTTGCATTTAAAACTAGTATTGCATAATATAAACATAAATGGTAAAATTCATGCTAATAATTTAACATTTTAATTTAGAATATCATTAAATAGCAAATAAAAAACACCATTACAAGTTGAGAGAGACCATGGAAGTAAAGAAAAAGCTTTGTAGTTTAGTACCTTTCATGATACTTTTTTCTTGCTTTTTTACAAGGGGCCCCACATTGCTCTGAGCCCTTCAAGTTATATAGTTGACCCTGCACTGAGCCTTATAGAAGTTAAGCAGCTTGCCTAAGGTCTCACGGTGAGCATGTGACCCTTTTTAACGCTTACGCCAACAACACAGGCAATTTCCAAATACTTATCCTTACCCCTTTTCTACATTAATCTAGTCCCCAAAATAGAAAACAAAGTTAAATCCTTAGTTTTCCAAAAAGTCTCTTAGAGCTACCTTTTTCTTTCCTTCCTTTTACAGATTAACTTAATCATGCCTCAGTGGTTAAAAAAATAAACCTGAAATAGTTGAAGAATAACACACACAGAAGCCAAACATGTTGCCATGACCCAAGATATATGTTTATATGAGCAATTTAAAATAATTCTGGTTATGATCACAGATCTTTTTGCATAAAGCATAGGCTGTTACAGACAATTACAAATTGCAGCAGACACTGGGAACTGGTCCATACATTGGCTCTCCTGCTCATCAAAACCTTCCAACATACCCGTATTTCAACAGTCTTTGCGCTCCATTGGGAACACAAAGAAAAATAAAACAAAATCAAATTTTCTATTTCTGTTTTGCACTATGAAATTCTTTGTGGATTTTTAGGAGCCTGGGAATATGTACATTATATAGCTGATCAGAAATTCTGGCAACACATACCAAAATACTTTACTTAAAGAAAATCTGGTTCCAGAGCGGGCAGAGTCATACAAGCTGCACTGCTTCAGAATGCTATCTCAGTGAGACTCCTTTCTACCATGCAAGCTTCCACAAAATAAATAAGCCATGATAGTCCTAAAGGAAATCAGGTAAAAGGTCTGAAAAACACTAAGTAATGGATTTATCCTTCCATCTTCCTAAAGACCTGGTTTCATGTCAAACTAAATTTCTGCACATTAGTGTATGGACTGTGGTGTCTAGGGTCAAACTCTGCTCAGCTACTAACTAAGACTAGACAAAGACAGTACTTTTCTGCTGTGCATCTCAGTTTCCTCATCCACAAAATGGGAAAAATCATAGTCCCTGGCCTCATAAGGTTGTTAATGATGATGACCTTTCAACAGTGTCTAATACATAGAAAGTGTTAATTAAATGTTAGCTATCATGATCATCATTTTTTATTTCTGGAAGCAGATGTTTATGTCCTAAGAGGTCTGATGACATACTGAAAGGAAGGAAAATGTTTGAATCTTTTTTTTTTAGCAAGCATCTCAGGTTCTAAAATGCAAAAATTACACACACACAAAATTACAGACCAAACTAACTCATAATATCAAAGCAAAAAATCTTAAAAAGAAATATTGACAAGCAGAATCTGGCAGCACATAAACAGCAACACTTCATGACCAAGTGAGTTTATTCCTGGAATGCAACATAAAGAGAAAAAAAAGATTATTTCCACAGATGCTGAAAAGGCATTGGATGAAATTCAACACCAATTCTTCATTAATAAAAATTCAATAGAATATTTCCTTAATATGATAGAATCTCTCTTCAAAAGATCTGATCCGAATATACGACTCGTTTATTAAATGTGTAGGACCCTATATATATATATATATATATATATATATATATATATTCCTATTGACTATTTCTCCCTGGCTTCATCTGAATATTCAACTCTCATATTTCTCTCCTCTTGATTATTGTATATATTTTTTAAATTACTCTATGATTCTATTTTTGTACCTGATTCAGAATTTTTTACTGCATAGTTGAGACATGGATCAGGTCAACAACAAGCACAGATATAACCAATCATATTGAGTATTTTACTCTAATAATGTAGGAATAACTAAAATGAGGCAGTAGGTTGGAAGCATTGCTGTTCCATTGTACATAGGGTCACCATGAGTCAGAGCTGACTCAATGGCAAGTAACAACAATGGTGACTGTGGCCTGGGTAAGCAAGTAGAGCTCCAGCCGGGGCCCTTGGCTCTGCAGTTCTGTCTCAGATGCCTTTGCCAGTGCTACAGACACCATTCCCTGTCCTGCTGGTCTTTGATTGGCAGAGGGATGCCTCTTTGAGAGGAAGAGGAAGTCTAGGCAGAGGTGGGCAGTTGGGTGTATGCAAAAGAGTGAAATGTTCCTTGTCTACTAGTAATTGCTTTTAGTCTGAACACTTACCAGTAGTTCTCAAAGGTTAGTTGGGTAAAAGACCTTGATCCTAACCTATCCCACCCATTCTCACATTTCAGTGACAAAGATCTCAGTAATACTAGCAAATTGACACATCACAAAAGCAAACTTGTTTCAGCAAATGAGGTATGAATGATTC